ATGCATGTTGATTTTATCAGACGATGCCGCGATTATAAATGAGAGTGACTCCTGGTTAACATGTATTAAAAGGGGTCGTGTTTAGTCACTATTTAGTGTGGTATTTTTTGACAATATTCACTCATCATGACAGTAAAATAGGGCATTCTAAGTCAATATACTGCAGTATTTCCTCTCTCAATCAGTAGAAAATATGGTTATTTTACACACGGTCATGCATGAAAAAAAAAATACCGTCATGTACCGTGAAACCGGTATAATTTTGAAAAATACCGTGATATAAATTTTTGGTCATACCGCCCAGCACTAACATTTCTTATACCATTTAACGTATTTAAAACTTTTTATGGCCTTAAGTTTGATACAACTCACTTTAGGAGTTTTTAAGGACCCGCGGGAGATCTGCATTTAAGATGGCCCGTCGGGCAGAGTGATGATACATTTTGGTAGCCCGACTTGAAAACACAATAGCCCCGGGACGTCGGGCTAGCGATTTTGCGAACCCTGTAAAAGCATTACAAAACGCAGATTTAAATGCAGTCAGTGCATTTTTTCAAATGAATCATCTGTCTGGCAGTATATGCACATACAGAGCAGGATGCTCATTTAACAGACCAATGTCACCCGATATATACATTTGCCCACACGCGTGCGAGCAGAACTTTATATTTGCATCACTTGACAAGTATCCCCTTTGCATCTTCATTAGAGGTCTCAATTAACACCCCGTGAAAAACAATGTAAGCTTCACTGAACCAAAACCATCTCAATTATAGTGCTGGTATGAAACACTTCAATTCTCTCTTGCTGACAAACAATGTGGTTGCACTTGCCTTGATTTTACACATAGACTTATTCACTGTTAGAAACATGCATGCCATGAGAATTTACTGACATGGCACATTTAATATTGCATCACGAGGATACAGCTCTCCCTGCACTTCACATCTGGGTTGTTACAGTAACATTTGCAACAGTAAACTATTGAAAACTGTGCCATGTTAGCATAGTAGGAGAGCGACATTCAAACCGAGAGTTCAGTGAGCACAAGCGACCGGGACAAAATGATATCTCAACATGTATGCTAGTGGTCAACCAATATGGACATTTAAAAACCCATTGCCAATAAACACATCTAGACTGTGTATGAGAGAGTTGACAGGTATATAATGCCAATATATGCATACAATTTAATGACTGCAAACGAGAGAAAAATTCTGAAATAAAAAATTATTTTACACATTTAAAATGCACTACAAAAGACTGTTGGTTGGTTGGTGTTTTAACACCATGCCAGTGCCCTTGGCTGTTTTCATGCTGTGTAACACATTGAAATAGTATAAAAGAGCAATTTAAAAACCTCAGGTTTTTAAAGTCTGCTTTAGATAGAAATTCTAAAATAGATTTAGGATTAATTCTGTTTAGAATTTCTTCTAGAGTGTCCTCCGAGTAATATAATTTCATAAAAGAACTTAAGCCAACACAATTTAATAAAATGTGTTTAAGAGACAATGGACTCTGGCAAGAAGAGCATATCAGATTATCTTCACTTCATATTAAGTACTGTTGTGTGATTCTGGAATTTTGCATTGTGCATATATGATCAGATCCCAGTGATTCACTACAAAACAATAAAAACAGAAACCATTTATTATCCATTGACAAGGTTTGAATGTGATGTAGCAGTCTATTATAAGAAAGTGGTGGAGTTTATATGGACTAAATGAATGGAAAAGGGAGGTCTCAGAAGGTCAAGTTATGATATTTTAATTAAAGATTTCAAATGAAAAAAAAAAAATCATCAATTAAGAAAACAGAATTTTCAAGCAGATACAGATACAGCAGAAGAGACAGTTATTGGTAGATACCAGTTTTCTCAAAATGGCCAAATATCGACCAGTCTAGCACTACTCAGCAGATATTGGGTGATATGTCGGCCTGTCACTAATGCACTCTAGGAAGCTCAATGACAAAAACACACTCTGATCAAATAGGTAAACCAAAAACAGAGCGAGGCGACAGCATTTAGTCATAAAGCTTCAGATCACAGAGGTAAAATGTAGGGATGCAAGAGCTTGAAATCAGAATAGGAGGTCAAGTTCAATGACCTAAACCTGCACCTGCATCTCCCAAAACACTAGCAAACAGTAGGGCTGTCAAATTTTTTTTCGAATATTAGTCAAATTTAAAATAAAGATCCACATTCGAATGCAAAATCGTTGCATTCGAATTTTAGGTGTGTGTTAAGGAGGCAGCTTTATCAGTGGCACACGAGATGCGAAACCCCCCTCTTCTCCAGTCCTGCACCTCAGATCAGCGAAGATGATGTGCGCTAGGGCTGTCAAAAAAAAAATTTGAATTTCGAATATTCGTTGAATTTAAAGTAAAAATCCACATTCGAATGCAAAAATGTTGCTTTCGAATTTTAGGTGTGCGTCTGGCAGCCTTATCAGTGGTGCACAAGTTGCGATGATGTAAGTGTCGTTGCATTTTAATGCTTTTGATAGCCTATCCAGTTGAAGCCACTAGATGCGGCGCTGCTGCGTTGTTAATTACAAATATTGTGGAAAAAGAGAACATCAATGCGGAGAAGATCTTGTTTCGTCAAACCAAGCCGTTCACACAGAACACATTTCGCGCATTTTCTAGAGGGACATCTATCACCGTTGCACTCGCGTCTCGCACAAAAGAGTTTTTGTAAAAAATGTTTAGAAAGCCATGTAAAATTAATGCAAGTTCAACTTTGAAAAAACATATCTCGAGACTT